CCCTAACAGCTTTACTAAGCGTGACAGACATTTAAGCCTGTTAAGTTGATCGTAATTTAGTGAGACTCCCCAGGGAGATAGATCGATCTAAATATCTGTGGTAATGGTCCCTTTAGTTTGGCGTGTTCCACGGGCAAGAAGGTTGCACTAAGTTTTACCCCTGGTCTGGCTTGAACTACTTTACCATTGGTGAAGTAAATGTTTTGGAAGAAGAGATAATAAAACGAGACCGTGAAGTATCTACCATTCTTTTCAGAATCATCCTAGATTTTAAAATCGCCATTACAGGTAGTTTTCATTTTCTTGACAAAATTTAACCTGGTGGATATTTGTTGTGTACGTAATTTCATTGGATTGAGATTTTTTAAATGCTTACTTTCATCATCAATTCTAATTGAAAGATGAGGATAAATTAGTACAAATTTACACTTCATGCTTAGTTGCATTCGACAAAAATTCAAGCATGATCTATTCCCTACATGATTTCTTTTAGGAAACTGGGTGTTATGACAAAATATAAGTGTGGGCGCTCACGAAGAAAAAACCGACTTCAGTTTAAAAGAAAAAAAAACGCGACAGCACATATAGCGTTACACTGTTTTCCTCACAATATCATCTAATTTGTTTTTTTAAATAATTTATATATAGCAAAAGTGAAGTTAATTTGAATAAATTAAATGCATTTGTTTATAGCAATCAGTGGTGTCTAAAGAGCCAGCCAAGAGACCTTTTCGTCGGACCACTTTTGAACACAGCATGATGGACGTTCACAGGTGTAAGTAGGATCAGCCAGAACTGCTCAGTACCAAAAAGAGAGTCCAGTGTAACAACACTGAGAAAGTCTGCCCTCAGTTTAGTTATAATGGTTAGGGTTAGCCTGACCCACGCGAGTCAAAATCTAGGGCGAGGTTTACATGTTCAAATTAATGGGAAGCGAACTCTCTGTCATTGGAGGACTCTATAGATTCATGTAAAATCACCCTGTAGATCTTAAAAGAGTAAATAAGTTATAATACTGAAGCATCTATGAAGATCTACTGTAAAGATGAAATATGCAATCCACTTTTATAGTAGATCTTCAAAGATCCATCAGTATTATAACTTATTTACTGGAGGACTCTCTGAAACATTACATCAGGGACCGGATTTGATCTGAGGATCAGGACACAGGAGAACGTCACATTTGGTCCATGCCAATTACCATTCTCAACCTCAGAGTGATGCCGCCCCCCACCCCCTCCACTTAAGAATTTTACTTTTTATTCCACTTTTATTGTATGAAACTAAGATCTAATAAACAGATCTGTTTATTAGATCTTAGTATGAAAAAAATATTGTTTTTGTGTTGACAAAACTTTATGACCCCTTGAAGTTACTAAGACAAACACAAACAATTTTACGTTATTTATTTATTCTTTCTATCATTATTTAAACGTGGTACTGGGACGTAAATGTTCTGATCTTACGTACCAGGGGTACACCATCATTAAACTGGAAGAGTTACAATTTTCACATGCGTCCTGACTCAGAGAATTGCTCATACAACTCTCATTCTTTTTAGGATCTACAGGTATTTACTGTATGGAGTCATGTGCTAGTACACATTACGAAAAGACTAAATATAAATATACAGTATCTAGCAGATAACTTCAGATCACATATGTTCCAGCACATAGACATGTAAAATAATTACTTCTGCAGCATACTGTTAATATCTTAAAGGAGTATAGGAGCTGCATGCTGTTAAAGTATCTATAATACTAAATGCAAAATGGTTCTATTTTTTACCATCCAAAGCCAGGCTTTAACATAACAAGTAGACTGATGTAGATGCAGTGATAGGAATGTTATACTTTCCTTTCATTCAATCTACAATATTTGGGAGATGACATCACGATGCACCTGCATTGACATCACAACTTCCGTGTAATGATACTTAAAAAAAAATTACATCACAACCTCCGTACAATGATATTTTTGTGTCATGAAATGACACCTGAGTAATCTTCCTGATCATAACACAACCTTTCTGGAATACATGTTGAATAAAAACCAGTTTCTTTCATGGATAAGCTAAAATGGCTTCAGCTAATATGTTGCTTCAAGTTACATCGTCAAAATGCAATACCTTTGTCAAATGGATTCAGATAAATGAGCCTGGAAACTACCAAAACTTAACTAAATTGTGGCAAAACTAAAAACAGGTGAAATGAAAGATTCGCCTTTGCATGCTTCAATATAACAGATTCATTTCTTGTTAGCACTGAATTTTGTATATCAGTGCGAATAAAACCTCACTGAGGTTGTCATACACAGTATACATCCTGTTTTTATCATGTGCTTTCAAGTGTCATGTGTTATCAAGTATTACACCAACATGCCTTTTTATAAAAACATCTGCCACCCCTGTGATATTTCATCACCATGTTTTCTACAGATCACATCAAAATGCAAACGGAATAATTAAATGCTTATACTTTCTTAAAAATGCTAAATCATTGAGGTATCTTGGGTTAGGGATAGCCATTTCTTGAGATATGAACAAAACTTAACGATAGCACAAAAGAAAGTTGATGGGTTTAGATCCATATTCCTTGTGTACTGTAGTAATGATAAGATGTCAAATAACACATTCTGAACAGACACTGTCATGTGCAATTGATCTATCAGATCTTTTCTCTTTTTTTTTCATAACAAATACACACAAGTGTCTCATCTTCTCCCAATTAACTACAAATCTTTCCTACATTTCCTGCAATAATAATAATAATAATAATAATAATAATAATAATAATAAACTTCAATTTTCTACACAAACCATTCGGTTTACCCTTTGGAATTCCATGTTCATTTTTCAAACTGATCAACTTCAAATAGTTTCTGTACAAATGCATACATGTACTATTCACAATATTTACAGGTTATTCAAACTTTGATAATACCAATTAATAAGATAAAGAAAAAGACACCAATATTTTTTCTGGAATACAGAAAACTTATTTCTTCATACACATATGGCAATAATGACGACTACTGTCACCTGTCATTAAGAAAAAAGGTGTGTCATAAAAAAAAAAAAAAAAAAAAAAAAAAAAAAAAAAAAAAAAAACCAGTCCTCATCTGATATTAACTCTTTTCTAAAACAGATATTAATTTTCCACAAAACAGTCCAAAAACACAGTTTAGAATTTAACATTGAAATTATTTTTTAAAAAAATGATAAAGAGTTACCTTAACCATGAAATCCATAAATATTGTTATAATTATTAGGACATTTATCTTTAAATTGCATAATATTCAAACATCCAGTTCCCTCTTATAAACATTTCAACATACACAAACACTACTTGTGCTGCAACTAAGGCTAGGGAAATACATGACATTAATGCTAATACATCACAGTGTCTCAAAGCACCGCAGTTTTGGCCACAGAAATAGTTTGTTATAAATACATCCCATAGACATCCTTCATAATGATCACCTTGGCTGCCATCTGAAAATATCCTGAGTGAGACCATTAAACTAGGGACAACCCAACAACGCTGCAACCAATGCGGTAGGTGCATTTCCCTTCCTCACAATGAGTGAATAGACACAATCATTCTTGATATGCCCCTGAACTTTGTGACAATCGACCCTGTGTATGGCACGCAGAATCAGAGGGCAGGATAAAGTCATATGGAGTAGGTATACAGAATGCCCACAAGCTAACAAACCAGGCTTTCTTATTTCCATGGAACTGTATCGTTTAACAGGACTGAAATATGCCCTTCACTTCATTTTAGTTTTGGACCTCTAAGTGATCTCAACTCAACAGACATTGTTTTCCGTAAAAAAGCCAGTGAGATATCTATCTACCATGCTTCCTTTGCTGCACATATTTCAGTATATATCACAATAACCAGGGACGGATCCAGAAATATTTTCTGGCACTCTTCCGAATTATCTTCCTTGTTAATCCATCCTCATTTTTAACCGTCTTCTAACAAAAACAATTAGATGCCCATCAATGTAAACTTTAAAATTCTAACTGTCTTCCAGAAGACCCAGAAGACAGTCTCCATCAGCCCTTGATAACAGCATTCAGTGTTTGTGGTCACTACTGCTGTAGTTGATAATAATGTGTCCTGTATCTCCTGTGCGTGTACCCTGAGGTTAGCTGCTCCGTGTGGTTCATATGAAATCAGACCATAGTGTTTGGCTAAGATCACCTTACAGAGTTGAGTTGTGTTTTTCTCCTGTATGGATTGCCTGGAGAAGTGTGACTGGGTGCTGAAGAGACAAAAATAGAAAATTATTCCATCACAAATTGAAAATGAAATCTGGAAGAGAGGGAATTTAAAAAATCACTTACTCTCCTCACTTTAACCTTCCATTCACATTTTTCACTCTCTGTCCCATGTGTATAAATATCTTGCAAAAAGTTAGAATGTTGACAAATTGATATCCCCCCTTGAAAAAAAAATGGGAAAAAAAAATTAATGAAAAAGCTCTCTGACAAAAGTCTCTATATTTCCTCACCCCATGATTGTGAATGGACTGCCTGGTCTTCTAGGCTGTCTTCATTATAGTCTATATGTGCATGAGCTGCCTCAGAGCTTGGGTTGATTCCACTCCCTGTAATACCAAGTAACATTTCCCTCCCTGCTGGTGAACCTACAAATGATAAATTTTGAGTTCAAAGTATTACATATTCCTGCGTAAGGTTAACAGAGAATCTAATTAGTTTTGCGGATAAAATAAATTAGAATCTGATCTTACCCTGACCACAAGAAGTCACCCTAACAGCACTAGATAATGTACATTGTCCATTCACTCTGCTGAGATGGTACATGGGAGAGGATTTAGTCTTCTACAAGTTCTAATATTATACATCACACTGTGAGAACAAGTACCCCTTACTTTCTCAGTAGTAATGATGATGAATGATATGTTCAATTGTTAACTGATAGAGACCCAAACAGCATAATCAATCTCAGGAAATACAATGAAACCTGTTCCAATATCAGAGAGGATGATCTTATTATACACTGTATGTAGATAGTTGTATACATTTATTGATACATTTTTTCATTATTTTCTATAAATTTCCATACTAAGTGTACATTGCCACTTTCTATCAGCATTTACCATTAAGTTCCAGGTCCGTAGCCAGCAATTTCAAAAGGGGGGTTCTTTTTCTGAAAAGGTGAACCTTTTACCATGAAACCACCATCTATCCAAATGAAATTTTACCCAGAGGGGACCTTTTGCTGGCAAAAAAAGGCCCCAAAATCCCCCTGGCTATTAGCCTGAGTTCTCTATTCTTACCTAAATGTAGCCCTCCCCTAGTTCCACTGTAGCCAAGGGGGGTTGAGGATCTTCTACTGGGGACAGTATTGGCCAGGGCAGCTGCCACAGCTGGGTTAGGGGTCTGACCATGAGGGGTGTCAGCCTGAAAGGTTCATTCCTTATTATTATTTTTTAAATACAATATATCAATTATTCATTGATGTGCATGTATAGTTTAGCTTTATTACATCAGCTTTAATGTGGATTTAATGCTGTTTATAATATTTCATAATGTTATATTATGTATATCAGAAATTTGCTTCACGCAGATCAAATAGTAAATGCCACTAACTTTTTTTCATCTTCCCTATATGATATTTCAATATTTCATTATACAGTTGTTTATGAAAATTAGAAGTTTTGAATGTTAAGTTAAATGCAATTTTAGGAACCTTGCATCATTTTGGTCCGATGCTATGGAGTACATATTATATTATACAAAACTATGCATGACTACTGAAAAAATCTTTAACTGATGATGTTATGAAGTTCCTTAAGATTTGTATTTGAAAAAAAAAGTCTCATGCCTGAGCGTAGGAATCTAGCTAAAGAATTTCTCACCCTAAATGTATGTGTTGTACTTGGCCTTGTTTCTAAGTGGTGTGCAGACTTAAGGCGATCTTTCCCCGCCCTGAGGTTGTTATCATGCACTGCACTGCTGGCGCGATTAGCAAAATGCGCTTTCTTCTGCTGAAAATTCAAGAGGATGAATCATCATACGATTCATCATGATACATAAAATAAACAAACTTCCACTTTATTTTATGTCGATCACAAATAATTCTGGGAAAACATATTAGACTCTGCATACAACAATATTTTAATCAAATTTTTTGAATTATTTGGTGTATACATGCTGTAAACCAAACAGAAAAACTGGAAAATGTACAGACATTGAACAGAAAAAAAAGCCATTCCCATTACTATATTTTTATGTAAATATGTACATTCCAAATTACAGTAACTTTGTAAAAATTATAGATCATGTTGATATAATTATGAACCTCTCTTTTTACCAATCAAAAACACTCAGCAAATTAAAAGTAACACAAAAATAAGATTAAGCACTTATGGTGTGAACATAGTAGAATATATAGATACAGTGTCTGTTTAGAAATATTCTTAATGAACCCCCACCACCCTTAAAGAAAAACACATACCGTGGTAGTGTTATTTTTCTGTTGCTGTGGATTAGCTGCCGAGGTATGTGCATTGGTTGCTGCTGCTGCTGTTGCATTCTGTGGTGATGCTGCACCATCAATATTCTCAAAGCCTATAGGTGGCAGTGGATGTGCTGAAGCACGAGAGGCACCCTGAGGCGGTGACGACAGCCTTTCGTTGAATGTACTTAGCCGATGGCCTTGGATACCCCCTATAGCAAGCTTCTCCTCTCCCTCCTGCTGGAGAAATACATAAAAATAATTACCTATTCACTGTAAATTAGATCAAATTAACAATTTTTGCAAATTAATTTAAAATGATAAAAATCAATCATGGTGTTGTACTGCATAAAACAAATAAAGGATTGTACTTTTTTCATTTGTGATTCTAAAATTGTGTAAAACTATAACAAAAACATTTCATTCACAAAAGATTTACATTAGTCTACATCTGAAACCAAAAGGAATCAAAAATCTTTTTAAAATGTGCATGGTGAGTATGCTTAAAGGTAGTTTCTCCTGCAATATATGACCAAATTCTGGCATCCTGATATACTTACAGCCCCAGGCGTCTTCGCCCTCCCATCCAGAGGGGCCAGCCTCTGCGGATGGGGTTTTCTACGGAATGTGGCCGAGGATGGATTGCGTAGGAATGAGTTGTTTCCCATGAACATGTTGCTGATAGGACGATTTTGTTTGTTGAAGTTAAAACTTGACCCTGGTCTCTCCATTGCCTCAGACCTGGACGTACAAAATAGAACAACATGGTTATAAGAATTAGTGGTCCATCATAGATCAAATGGATTGCCTTTTCACTGCTTTATCCTTTTAGACCAATGCCAATGTCAATTCTTAAAATGCTGTTAGTCCAAATGAAGTTATTTGCCACATTGACGTTGTGACAAACAATAAAATTGACCTTTTTTTATTACATTTGACTAGAATGTAATATAATCTTATAAAATATGACAATAATTGCTGTAATGTATATCATGTATCAAGTGCACAAAATACCAATGAATTTTACAACCTGGTGTTTGCCACATGTTACTGATTAATTTTCTAATTCAATTTACTTCCAAATAAAAATATGATGTATCCATTATTGTTGACTGTTTTTGGTTGGAAGGTTCCTCTGTTATTTAGGGAAAATTGTTAAATTCCAAGACATGAAAAAGCTCACAAAGTCATGTAATTATAACAAAGTGACTTATAGCTTACCCAAACCCTGAGTTCTCCCGCCTTAACAGTGGGAAGGATGAAATGACCAGTCCAAAGTCTAAATTGCCTTGCTGACCTTTGACAAATGAATCCTCATACTCGAGTTGCATATGTGGAAATTTTGTCAGTTGCTGAAAAAAAATCATTTTATGAAAAATATTATACTTTTAATCAAAAATACTTCAATTATTTTTTCCTTTTCTATTTTCCGCTATGTATAATTTACTTTTTTCCACATTTTTTTCTATTCAATTATTTTCCCACTAATTTATCATTTAAGAATTTATTCACTCATTTGATAATTTTTTCAAAATATTTGTTCAGAATACACCTCATTATTAATGAATAATTATCTTTATGTTTCTACTTGTTCAATAAGTAATATCTCACACAACCTTATGACTGATCGCAATGCATATATATTTCTTTACAGCTAAAAATATATCATATTGGGACTTACCAATTATAAAATTAATTTGGTACAGAAAGATGGAAATCCTACAAAGGAAAACTCACCTTATCATTGATGATGCTGTTTTCCCTGGATGGAGGCACCTTGTCATTCATGATGGCTCCCAGGTGTGAGGGAAGGTCAGGCAACATGGGCATATCATCTTCCTCTTCTTTTTCTGCAATCCAAAATTTCATCTTATAAACCTGTGCAGTTTACATAACAGTATGCTTATGAAAAAGACACAGAACAAGCCTGTCAGGTGTATTAGATATACACATGAGCCAAGCATGACTAGTTAACTTATACATGTAGGTGCAAATGTAGGTCTTGCTGAAGAGTATTGTACATGTAATTACATGTGACTTGTACAATGACAGATGTAGAGAACAAGAGACAAACTCAATGACAAACATGATAATATGAAAACTTCAAATAAATAACAAAGTTTGTCTATACAGATGGTTGACAACATTAAAGTCATTCTGTAGCTATATTTACAAAGGTGTGACATTAACACTGACCTGTAAGTAACTGCACATGGTATAACCGCAGCAGTTTCTTTAGATTATTCACAACCTGCTGAAAAGACCGAAATAGGGCTTAAAACATACACTTAATATTATGTAATGATTTCCATTTTATCTGGGACTGCTAAGTTTTCTACTTGATTGAGAGCTAAAATAAACTACTTGAATAATTCAGCTGATTATGAAAAGCTGATTAAGTGACCTTTAAATCTTTTTCTACATTTTACCAAAACATATAACATATTCTATTCTTTGTGTTTACTTGTAAAAAAAATCCAAATGTCTTAGGTTCTGTAAATATAATTTCTCCTACCTCTGACCATATATATTCATATGAACTAACAGCTATTGTATCCTTAGCACATGCAGTTGGAGTCATTGGAGGGAAGCCTGGACGCCGTCTTCGCGGGGAGTGATATACTCGACTCTCATGACCCTCATCGTCACTAAAAACATTTAAAAAACAGGTGAATTTTGTCTGTGAGCCTCTCTCCCTTTTTCTAAATACCATATATTCTGTTGATACTCAAAAACTTTCCATTCCATTTTTGAACCACAGTTTATATACCTACAAAGTTGGGCATCCTTTATGCATGGCAATAAAAGTATCTTATGTACATGTACTAGTTTGCCTTCTTAACATATTAGCAGAGGGAAATTTCTAATATTCTAGTTTTACATTTTATCAACATATTAGACCAAGGCCAAGGTGATTTCATGGTCAGGTCATCTCAAGGTCAAACTGAAGTTACGCCAAGGAAGAGCACTACTTACTCATGTTTATAATCTATTGCTATAATATCTTCATATTCCCCATCTTGCTCTATAACCTCCTCCTCCAAATGTGCATATTCCCCAGCAGAGTCCGGGTTGGTCCTATGGGTCAAGCTGTCCGATGGTACACTCCTGGGGGTCACTTGACGTCCAGTTATTGAAAGACTGGAATCAACAAATCATGCATACAATGTAGTTACAAGACAACAATAAAATCCTTCCCCAATTTTAAATATTTTTCATTAGAACTTGTTTCCACCATACAAATACCTGCAAAATATAATTCTTTGCTATTTCAAATTGCCATCAACAATTTCAAACTTTCTGACCGTTTTGTATGTATGTTAATATTTTTGTGTGTTTTGGGTGGGACAATCAAGCACATTCCAACATACCCCATCTGTTCTGTAGTAGCAGACAGGTCTTGCTCTGTCACATCCACCAGTACACTGCCAGTGGCAGGGCGAGGCGTCTCTGACGCAATGGCAACAAATCCTTGGTCTTGCGTAGGGAAAAACTGCCTGCCCAATATCCTAAAGAAATAATAAATGTAACATTGGAAGTCTTTTTAAAAAACTGTTTACACAAATAAATCATTTGCATAGATGAGATCATATCTAGTTTTTCAACATGTATTTGTGATGTCAACATTAAAATACCTGTACATGGAATTAACTTAAATATCAATTGTAATAAAACAGAATATCTAAACATCTGAAAATAAAAAATATTTCACAAACTACACAATAAGTTCACAGAAACATCATCCTAAGAGTGAAAACAGACAAAAAACATAATAATTTAAAGCTCTTCCTACACTGATCTCCCATATCCCTTCCCCTACGTTTACTGGTACTTAAAGTGATCTATTTACATAAAGCTATTTCACTTGACTAAAAATATTTTTCTATGACTTGATTTACTTCCTTCTTTTATCATTTAACACAGCAGCTGTTTTAACAGGGTGCCATATATTCAGGTTTCTTGCAAGCATTTTTTTTCTTTTTTTTTTTCAGAAAGAACAGGTGCCTTGATTTACAAGTGAATACAGACAAACAGGCAAGAGACAAAATACAAAATCATTTTGATTCTGATCTCATATATATATCTATATCTATATCTATATCTATATATATCTATATATATATATATATATATATATATATATATATATATATATATATATAATCACTGATGATAGGAAAAGAGAGAACAGGATAGGATTACTACATTAAATATGAAACTGATTTGATAAAAATTAAGAGTTTCCGTGAAATAAGTTAACAAAATTAATTTGGTATGTTCATGCATAAAGAATAAAAAAGTAATCTTTCATTAAGGCTAGCTTATTTGCTTATATCCTGCCCCCCCCCCCCTGCACCCACTCACCACCACATTTCTTTTTAATTAAATTAACAAAATAACTAATTTTAAAAAACATTTACTCCTATTCTGCAATACTTTTCCCCCTCAAAACAGCAAATGCAATAACAAAAGAACACAAATGAGACACAGTTGAAATAACATTAAATGTGTCCCCTAACAATTACATAAATCTCAAATGGACAGTCACCCAACAAATATAACAATTAACATAGTAAGAACAATGACCAGTGGCACAATTGACATTTTCCCCTTTCTTTCAATGCCACGCTTCAGGAACATCCCCCTCCCTTCCAATAACAACACAAGTGTATGAAGAGCCAAGGAAAGAGGGGAAAATATTTGTCCGTTCCTTGGCAACACAAGAGTCAAGCACTAGTGGTTTAAATGGCAGGCATTAATCTTCCGCCAGTAGATCATGTCATGGCCAGAAATAGAACACTGCGCTATTTTCTGAGAGATGAAGTGCACTCCTGCATACAAAGTCTACAAAGAGCTACTATTATATGATACCAATAATCTTTATAGTATGATTTCACTGAACAGACTTATTAAGCACTGTTATTGTGAGAAAGTGGTCCATTATGCAAAGGGTGGAGGTTTAAGCTATAGATTTCTCGGAAATGAAATAGTTATTTGATACGTGTCAAAAATAAATGAAATATCTGGTACATGTTACTGCTGTAATTTGGTCATTTTTGGGCACTTAACAATTATGCATAATGACCATCTCAAAGAGGCCATTTTCTTAGCAAAATGAAAATTTTGTAGCAACATTGCAAACTTAGAGTTTGCAGCAACAAGTTACGGAACAAAATTTATTGCTGCTAATTTGCAGCCATATTGCAACAAATTTGCAAGAAGGAATTGCAGTTTGCAGAAACATTGCAGCAAATTTGCTGTGAATTTGCAAGCAGGCCTGCTTGCTATAAAGGGACTGTACTGAGCTAGCACCCTTTTGTCACATCAAAACCATCATCGCATTCAACTACGTGAGAGCCCAGCATTCTTGTATTGATCAAGACACCTGACTAAAAACAAAGAGTTTTCCAGCTGAGTTCCAGTCTACTGCAGTTCAAATTCAACCCAGGGCTCATTTTTCTCTTCATTATACCGTGTGCCCCTTTCTTTGACTTTATGGCTTTTGGAAAAAAATGCTTTCTGACAATTTCACATAAAAGACTTAGGTGTTTAATAATACACCAAAGCTTTGTAAATCCAAAGCACAATAAAAAAATTATAGTGTACTGTGCATAGTATTCATATAGCACAGCCATTCACTGGTATATTGGGCTCGAGAACCAGAACTAACTAAACACAGATGAATATCATTTTAAAGAAAACTTCCCTCAATTCCAGTATAAATGACACAAATAACAGTTCATATAAATAATCCGGATCCTAATTATTTTTGAGAGCTGTGACATATCACAGAAATGTATACTGAAGTGAATTAATGTAATATATCTTTATGTGCATGTGGTAATATATCTTTATGTGCATGTATCTATCAATATAGCCAATGTGTAAGACTACTGTACAATTCATCATTATTATTATTATTATTCTAGAATGGAAATAATATTCCATACTGCAGTATATTACCTCCCCATTAACCCAAAAATGTGATTGATGATGTTATTATTAAAAAAACAATAATAATATGGATAATTATTCAATAATGCAATGAAAACAAGAATGGGCTCATATTGCTGACAGAGAGAGACACCTATATTTCATACCTGAGATGTGGAAAGGTCTCCACCCATTCTTGGCACTCATTGACTATATGAGATGGCCCCGACTGGCTTTGTTCAAATAGCACAGAATCTATTTCTTCAAACAACTGTCGCACAGTTTTGGAAGCCTGCCTCTCAAATTCCTGTGAGAAAGAAATGTCAGAATCAGCATCACAGTCAGAAGTATGCATGAAGTACATTATTCAGGGAGCAAATCAAGCAGCCCTTACGTCATCCCTGCCTGATTTGGTGTAAACACATGTCAATTCACTTTCTATGTACGTCATCTTTTCCTGGATTAGTATGTGTGCAAATAAATTGATAATGCCAGCTAGTTTAAGTATTTCTGTTAATAAAGTATAATTTACAAGATGATATGTAAATCTAATCATAATCAAATATAATATATAAAATATAATCATATATATATATATATATATATATATATATATATATATATATATATATATATATATATATATATATATATATATATATGTCTCTTCGTAATAACAGACAAAATTCTCTCCATGTGTGTGTGTGTGTGTGTGTGTGTGTGTGTGTGTATGTGTGTACAACATTATTTTCATCTGTACAGTTAACATGCAGTGTTTGAAATAAATACCACTAGCCTGCTAGGCCAGTCATTTTCCAGCTGGGCCAGTCAAGTCAATCTGGACCTCACTGTCTGAAGTTTCAAATCAGAAAAAAAAGCAAACAGCCAATGAAAGTCATTCACTCTCTCTAAAAAGTCTCATACAGAGGTGTGTGTGTGTGTGTGTGTGTGTGTGTGTGTGTGTGTATGTGTATGTGTGTGTGAGGGGGGTCAGGTCTCTGTGCAAAGCTAGAGTGCAGGAAAACTACACTACAAACTACATGGAGATTACTCTATTGGTTGACAGTTTCAAAACTGCACCATTTCAGTGTCAAAACCTGTCTATTAACAAGTAAAACAATGCCCTTACATCATCCCCCCATGAGTAGGTAGAGTAGATGCTACTGCGGTCAGTGGTATTGCCTCCTGTCCACTCTGCCTGAGAACCACACAGCCAGCTCTGGCTCTCAGTTAAGGGAGATGACCGCCCACTCTGAGATGGACTGCTGCGGCTGCTGTGGTAACTGAAAGGGTAAAAATTAAATTAAATATAAAATCATGTTCAAACAGACTTGGCATACTTCTTATAATGTTAACAAATAATTCTGGTCCATATTTAAGCTAAAAAAGTTTTATTTTAATTTGAGAAATTTTTAATTTACCATAAAATCACAAAACACGATAGGTAGCACAGGAAACAGAACAGTTTTCAATCAACTAAAAAATGAAAATTGAAATAATGTTCTTATAAAATAAATTAAAAAAAATATCAAGTGTTGAAGCCTGCTTATAGTTTAAGATTAATACAAAATTAAGTTTCATATTTTTTAAAATCCTCATTTCATACTTCTGAACTCGGGCTGAGTTGTTCTTATATTGCTGATCATCAACTTATAATCATGCAGGACCTTTTTTTAAAAAAACAAATCTTAGGATCTTAATAAAAAAGGCATTTTTCCATGAAAGAGAGGTAATAAAAATTGTGATGAACTGCTGACAACAAAATTAAAAATGGCCAAACACTATGATCTCTCCCAGCATCACCACCCAGACGCGAGGTCAACTTTTGCCACACGACTTTGCAATGTTCAACTGCAATGTCTCCACATAAATTAAGATTGAATTTTTGTTTTAATCTAACCAGAGGACATGGGCCAATCCCTTGGTGTGGTATATTGATAACAGCCACTTTAGTCTCAAGAGGAGATCACACCACATCCCCCATAAGCCAACTTAATTGAACTCTGCAGCAATGCCCACTACTTATTGCCTGTCTATTCAAACACTGAGGCAGGTAAATTGGTTCCCTGGGCATAGTTTTCACCAGCAATATTGATGACAATCTCATTTATCAGGAAATACGACATTAATGGTGATGCCAAGATAGTGTGTATTTGAGGATAAATATGGATGATGCAGCCTGCTGAATAAAGAGGTACTGGTGCAGACCAGGGACAAATCCAGAGATATTTTCTGACAGTCTTCCAAATCATCTAGTTGATGCATCCTCCTTTTTTGACCGTCTTTGGACAGAAAAAAGTTACATGCCCATCAATGTAAACTTGAAAATCTGATAGTCTTCTGAAAGACCCAGAAGATGGCCAATGTTTGGACCCTACAGACAGTGTTTAATGTGTACATTATTGGTACAGTCTGCCCAGATCAGAGGGGGATGTTGTGGTTGAAGCACCAACGTATGATGGTGACATATGGGTTAAAACGAGATAACTGTAACTGTATAACAATCAAGATTCAATCTACATGGTATTCATCCACTGACACACTCTAACTTCCCCTCCCCCCTTAACAAACAATATACTATTGGCAACAAGAATCAAGACCCCCCCCCCCAAGCCCCTACCCAGAAGAGGGATGCAGCTTTCAATTTCCACATGACCAAAACCGCAGTGATAGAGTGGCCCTTAAAGTCAAGGACTACAAAGCCCTGAAGGTCACATGCAAACCCCTGTGCAAGCAAATTAACATGCTCTATATTTCATTGCAGCATTATTCTAAGTTTGCCAATTGATTTCAGTGGCATTATCTTGAAGTACAACATAGCACAGAGAACAGCACAGTCACTGAAACGGGCCCACTGAAACAGGTATAATAGATGACTGATCAGTGAATACTCTTGTAAAATACAAACCCTGGCAGATTACAAAAGAACAAAAATTGGGGCAGCATGAAAACATTATTTGTTATTTCTTAACTTTACTATCCTGTTACTAGTAGTTCTGTACATTACATTATGTTATAATTTTATTACTCATAAAAATTCTATTCAGTCTAAGATTAAAAGCATTTAATCTAGTTTTATAGTCTCCTGTAATAAATCAATGTGCATAAACCCAGGATTTCTTTTATTAAAGTCAGTTTCATCCAGAATTTATCAACTCAAAGAACCAAACAGGGTGCAATGAAAATTGAATAAAAACCCACATATCAGTAGCCTTGTGCAGATAAATATATCACATTACAGTAAACTGAAAATCTTTCTGTGAAGAAATCGGCTTATTTTAATTCCAGAAAAGAAACTGGTTTTGCCTGGAGGTTGATATTTTCCCCCAGTGTTCAATGAGCCGGTCAATGCCCTGGGACAACACAGAAAACTCTATACCAGTAATCCTATTGGCAATAAAACGCTCCAAAAAACATACTCAAACTACAGTTCTCAGTGACTCCCCTAATCCACTTCACCATTCAAGATCATTCAAATTGAGCAAGAAAAAAAACTTACACAATGAGAGCCATTGTGTGTAATTAAGTTAATACTACCAACTTTTTTTTCTTCAAAGACTTTGAAGACAAGTTTGAGACCTAAACAAAGCCATAATAGGTTTTCATGCAGGGACCACTGCATTTTTTACTCTGACACAGAGCACGAGAGATGTTTTAAAAATTTCAGAGTCTTGGTGACTGAGCTGGGTCTAAACACTGAATGGGATTAAAAGTGCTTGATGTCATGCCTGATACCTTGAAATAAAACCTGTGGAATTCTACCCCTACAGGAGTTTTCAATCGCGTAAATCTGATTAACTCACTCAGGCAGTCTGTTGCACAAACAGATAGCTTCAAAACTGACCAAACAGTGGACTTAACAGCCAAGGAGACTGAGAAAGTTTCAACAAAGCTGCTCTCTGTTAATTGAACAAGCCATCTACAAGTATTTCTTCTTGAGGTGTTGAATAACAGTATTGTAGAATGGACACAAATTGTACCGTGTTAACATATGAAAACCATTTAGTTCAGAAATGTTAGTTTTGTTCCCTTTGAGAAAGACAACATTTATATAGTTACCTCAATTTACTTATTGAGGAAATATATATGTATCACACTTACGTTCACTTGGTAAGATAATCTTAGCAACCAAAACATGAAGCCTAATATTGCTCAAATACTAGCATTGATTTTTTGTATCAAAACTGACAGTGAAACCACAGAAAGTATGAAAATTGTTACAATATTCAAATGTACAGACAAATCTTTAATTTATAAGATTCTGAACAAGTTCCAAATTTTTTCTCCAGTATGTGAATGAAAAAAAAAATCAGCTTTGGTAGAAACACACACATGTAACTCATGTCATTCTTTATGTAAACTGACGTCATCAAACCATTAAAATTACAAAGAGATTCTTTCTCCTTTCTCACTATGCAAAACATGTTGATTGGTTTCAATGCTAGTGTTGCTGTCAGAAATCGGAGAAATGTCACAAAATTTTAACCACAATAAATTGGGTGTTTCAGCAGGTGTTCTCATGTGACCAGTAACCTTTTAATATTTACTAGTGTGTGAAAAATAACCATTTGTCAAAAATAAATTCAAAGAAACCCTTTAAAACAAGGACTCAATCAATTTCTATCCTTTTCTAAAAAGCTGTTGAGATTTTCAAAGCCTTCCTTATCTGCTACATGTACCAGTGTTAAATTAAATGACGACCAAAAACTACACGCAAACTTCATAAAATTGATTCAAACAACAGCCTCTCTTTACCCATCACAAATTGTTTTTAGACAAACATTAAATGTTGCCTTGCGGAACCATTTTCCCATGCTCGTATCAATCACAGAAGATTGACTTACCCATTCCATTTCGAGTACATAGTTACAAAAGTAACATTAAACCAGTCCTATAACTGCATTCTTTGGGTTTATGTCATTTCATTAATTAGCAACAAGCTCAATGTAGATAAAAAAAAGTGAACTGTTACTCGGGGAGATTTAAATTACTTTGTGAGGTTCTGTGACATTTCATAGAATAAAATCATGTTTAATCTCCTTAGAAACAATTTACCATTTCATCATCAGTATACAAGATTTAAATTATTTTGTGAGGCTCTATGACATTTCATAGAATGAAATCATGTTTAATCTCCTTAGAAACAATTTACCATTTTATCATCAGTACACAAGAGACAATAAAAAACCTATTTCTTTGAAGTTCTGTGTAAAGAAGGCAAATGGAAACACCAAGAAAGGAGAATCAAAATGCATGATTTCAACTTCATAACATTTTGACATATTTCTACAATTTACAAAAAAACTTTCTTTCTTTTCTTTTCTTTATCTGTATATAATAACTCTTATTTATTACAACCTCCTACATGGGAATGCCATCAAAAATAGAGATCTATAATAATAAAATATTCTGGTGATAAAAAAAAAATTTCAGAGATTTCCTTACTTCGATATGGCATCCTGTGTTGTCTGCAGGAACTCTGGAGGTAGCGTCTGCTGCCCAAACTCAGGTAATGGATGGACATCTACACTGCCACGTGAAATTCCCCGTCTGGAAAATTAAGCAAGAAAATTCATAAATATACATATCTTAAATTTGTAGTGAGACTGAAACTAAAACATTCTAAAAAGTGGTTAAATAAAATATTTCAAAATCGTACTTAACTACTAAACACAAAAAATGAAAGACTAAAATTTTATTTGTGGCTGGAATGAGGAAAACATATATACATATATATCTTTATAAAAAAAATAAACAAGACTGTTAGTTTTAAAGTTTTCCTAGTATAATTAGATTTCTTATATGTGATGTGCTCTGTTAATCTGTGTACAATATCAATTTCATCCAACTGACAAATCATGATAATTCATCCATCACATATTATATTCGACACAACCACAAAACATTTTAATGAGACTTCCTTTCACCTTGAAAAAAACAAACATGAAAGTTCTGCCTCTTGTGTGATCCCAAAGAAATTCACAAATGTTGAGTCAACAGCCTATCTTTGCTCACATTTTATCAAACCAGCTTCCAAATATTGACCAGTGTACCTTACAGCTTCACGCCATAGCTACCACTCATGTTTTTAGTAATTATGCTACTTATTGAATATCTGTTCTTAACTAAATAACATGGGGTTGGCTATTACTTGCTGTCATGTCAGCTATGGAGCCACATTAAACAGCATTTACGCACTCCTACTAAAGGCTTTTTTAAATTTCTCTTTGTAGCACTACTTACAACCTCTACTCTTACTAAATTTGTATGATTTCACACATTATTCTTTTTAATGAGATACANAAATATATTAAAAATGTGAAAGAAAAAAGGAAAGTTGCAAAGGGAAAATTACTGTGGAAAAGCTCTATTAATAAAAGCAAAAATGTATTTTTTTAATGACAATAATAATAAGAAGAAGAAGAAGAAAAAAAAGAAGAAAAAATTTTCAAAGGTTGCACTCTAATTAAAGATACAGGATGATTGTATTCACTAATTCACTATGGCATAACAACTTTAAGTCAACATACATCTACTATAACACTGACCATAAAAACAGTTTCATGTGACAAGAATGAAAAGGTAGATCATTGTTATGTTGCATTTATACAATACTTTAAATGTGTGTCTTATACTTCTACATACATTACAGATAGCTAAAACTTCTATAATCAACATTGTAATTAAATGGTAGTTGAGAGAGCCTATGAATGTAACATTTAAAGCTCAATTAAAATCATTATTATTAATATCAAAAAAAAAAATTTATTAATACTGCTGATCTCAATTTAATCCCAATTGTTCTTAGCTGTGATTCCACATTTCTTACTCCTCTTCACCTATAGCAATCTTATAGGAGTTTCTCTTCCCACACAACCGTTGTATTTGGCAACTATGTGCGTATCTGTGTACACAATTTCAACTATTGGGATAAGTGACAAAGAATTAGGTAACATCTTATCTGAAGAAGAAATAATTATAGCATCTGGGTAAGGTTGTAACAGGTGTACAGCTTTGATGCTCCGTCTTGTTGTTATGTTGGTCTTAAGCACTATACATGTACTAGTATGCTTTATTTTTGGCAAAACTGCCTTTACTGCTGCTATAAAATCTACTCAAACAAGAATCGGTCTTTGAAATGTTTAAGAAGTTTGTACATTTTTTCATCTTTTTTTCTTAAAAATCATTTTTATGAAACCTTAAACAAAATATTCTTTCAAAAACAAAACCCTAAAATTGTCAGTTAGGTTTTGCCTTAATACGAAATATAACTGTTAGGTCAGCCACGTCCTTAATTTCCATCGATTTGGCTTCAACTTCAAATATTAAATTTAAATTTCTTAGTATGTGGCATCCATACGGGCTTTGATGTTCACTTACTGGAGCTCTATTCCATTTTCAAAAATATTCAAATGTGTTAAAATTTATCATATTGCACTAGATACCCTTGACCCTCCCCTTAACCCATGTCCACTTACCCTTGTGTTAAAACCTTGACCAGAACTGCCCAACAGGTGGTCATTCCAGTCAAAACAGAATCACTTAGCACATGGGAGTTATCAGAGCAAATTCTCCAAATTCTCTAGCACTTGTTAGACTTCTAAGGCCAATTTATGAATTTTTGTATTGTAATTTGAAGTGTTGCACTGCAGCTACCTAATCCAAAAATGGTTCAAGCAAAAATCTAAGAATCTTCCTCAAAGCAATTTAGAAAGGCTTAGATTTATATATAAAATTAAGTCATGAAGGAAAAGCCATATATCTGAAAAAATCTTTCAGGCATTTGCAATTAGTTCTTTACTGCCACGCTTGTTTATTTGGTCTATAATGCCCAAATGATGAGCAAATTATCCCCCAAGGTATTATTTCCCTTGCAGTTACAGATCTGGGATTAATCCCCCCAGACATTGAATACAGTTTCTGAAAACAGCTCAGTAAATTGACAGGTGTCATTTGTGAAGAAAAATATGAATTTCAATAATTGAATATTATCACAATTATCTGAACTTGTTCCAAGTCCTATAATTGATATAATTGATGGGTGTTATTTTTGTTTTACTTGTATTAATTGAGTATAAACATACGCAAACTCAACACTGATATTTCAAGCTATAACTGTAAGAAAAAATGGAAAAATATCAACAAATTATACAAATGTCAAATCTGCATATGGGGAGTAACTTGGAAAAATATCAAAAAATGATATAAATGTCAAATCTGCATGTGGGGAGTAATTAGACCTACACATACTAAAAGTATAGAGCAGGTTGGTATTTTTGTTCTTATCCTGAACATAATGACAGCCGAACTTTATTTTTATGATCAGAATATTGATCCACAGAGTGAAAGCCATGCAGTATTGTTGTATGACTGTGGTAATCACTAGGAGGATAAGTTTATTATGTAAACCAGAAAAAAAGCCACTTTTATAAAAATACCAACCGCAGAAAGAGCAAGTATACTACACGTAGCTGACTGTATGCATGTCAATTATTTTCAGCACTGAATACCTCTTGTGTTAAAGCTAAGTTTTTCGTGACAAAAGTGCACGTTCGCATGCTCTCTGGCTCTACATGTCAATCAGCTGCATTCTGAATATAATATCAATCTTGATCATATGTATACACAGCTAATTTAAAGATCTCTCGAGACTGAAATTTCTTTTCCCCAGCTAATTGCTGTAATTCCATTAAGCCCACTGATTAGTTTAATCCTTTGGAGACACAGCACTGGTATTTTGTAACTATTACTGTTACATTTATATAACTTGATTGCATAGTTCAAATGTAAACAATATATATTCCAAAATTTATGTCATATTTATTCATTAACTATGCAGAGCAATGCTCGTACTCAACTTGTACTTAAACCTGCATACCAATGTCAGTGATATAAATCATATTGTTAAGAGGGTCAGATTGAAAATGGCCTATCACGGAATATGAAAATCAACTGACACAACTTTCATACAGGTCATGGGATATAATGGAATTTTATAAGTTCGCATGCTGGCAGGTCATTGGGAATCATCTGAGATGGCATAAAGTCATACAACATTCAACTTTTGTCAACTAGCGCAAAATCAACTAAAATCTCATGAGATTTGAAGGGGAGCTGGGTCAGAAATAATGACTGACTAGCGAGTGCGTTTTGGCAACAAATAAAAGCTGACAGAATTTATCCATAGATATTTTACTGGATGTTTTCTGAAGTTATGTCAAATTACAGCCTATTACTCCCAACAGCATGACTTTACCATGTTTTGTGTCGCTATTATATTGTTTTCTAAAACAATATTCCAAGCACAAACTTATAGTTTTAACCCTTATCCCTTTGGCTCCTACAATCTACCGAATAATGAACCCTCAGAACAATAAACCCTTAGAATATAAGGACTCCGTCAGGTAGTACCAACGGCATCTTAATAGACTTTCTTTGACAATTTTTATTGCTGAGTATCAAACCTCAATGCAGTACATTTAAGGAGTCACGAAAATCACTTAAGTACATATGTATGTTATTTCAGATTTTCTTTGTTGGAAATATTAAAAAAACTGACAATGCTTCTTGAAGACCTTGCCACGAGGGTTAGCAATATATTTTTCTATGAAATATATCTCTAAACTTAATTGACAGAAAAAAAAGTATTTCAAAAAAATCAAAGTGTTTCTATTCTAGTTTTACCCTATTTTTTTTTACCTGTCATCATTCTTCAAGTTGCTGGAAACACGTGTTCCAACACAAACAAGAAGTCCTCCCAAATCATCGCGCGCCTGTGACATGTGAACCAACTCTTTCCCGTAGAACTGCCACTTCATGCGCACACATAACTGCGCCCACTTTGGGCATGTGAATATTGCAACTTGATGACGCTCATCATGACAACTGACTACAAAATCCCTGAAATCTTGAGCTTTTCCATATGGTGTGTCCTCCCGCCCTCATGCTCTTGTTTTTGTTTATTTTTGGTCCGTTTCCCAGGGAACTCTGTTTTTCAAATTCAGTTTGTTTTTGTCAAGTACTGGTAAGTCACTTGTAACAAAAATTCCAGCTATTGACTTGTTTTTTTTAAGAAAATCTCCTTACAAATTATCCTTTGCCCTGAGATTTAATGCAAGATATCTGCCAAAATTGTGAAGATTCCCTTCACTCTTTCAAAAGTGAGACAAGACGAAACTGCTCGACAACAAACCCTGAGACAACCAACCACCGTCAGCCCATGAGAAAAAAATCCTATAATTTATCCCTCGACTGCATGCCTAAATTCACCATCAAACGCCAGAGGTACTCTTTGTTCAGGAACACTTTGTTCAGGAACACAATTTCTGCCATCATGCTGCCAGTAGTAATTCAACACTCCTTTCCCTTGCCTGTATCTGTAACACTGTCAGTCCCACAGATTTTAAAGAGAAAGTCCTCAAATGTCAGTTGACTGCTCAGACACCTCTTCATCCATAGTATCACAAAAGCTGCCAGATTAAAGTTACCATGCAAATATATCCTTTCGCCAGCAAAACTGCTATGAATGGAACTGCTTCAGCACGAGTAGAAGAAAAAGCTGCCGGCTTATCATATATACATACACTCTACATGCTTGCTTCAAGCAACTTCTTTCAAAGCAACTTTTTCAAGTAGAAGCTTTCTTGCCTCTCTAGCTTATATAAACCCTGAGATAATAGTTTCTTTTCTGGTTCAATCACACATTATCATCCAATTTTTGTATTCGTCAGAGAAAACTTCACATATCCTAATCCACCAAACAGCCTTTAGTCTTTCCTTGATAAGGTCAGGCACCAGAGGTCCTTAGCCGCAAACACCAATCTTCTGATGTAAACACACAAATGTTGGTACGGTTTCGCCAACAATGCTCTCCTCACGCAATGTCAACTCATCACTTTCTTTGAGAATCGACTTGTTACAAACACACACTGCTCAATGGAGAAAGAGCCCATGCCGCTGTTCTTTATAGTAGGTATATGCTTAGCAGCCCACAGCAACACTATAGGTCCCAGTTCTGTGTATAATGAAAATGTGCTTAAACAAGCCTAGAACAGCCTTGTGTGTACAGTTGAATTTGCAAACATGGCATGTGATTGGTTAGGCCAGCCAGGAGATCCCACAGCACACACGAGGGAATATGTAATATGTGGTACTATGTACACTATCTTTGAGAACCCGATTAATTACTACACTTGGTGATTGTTCCTCTTTGATTATGATAATGAATTCTTGAATTAATGAAGTAAGAATTTTCAAATGGCACTGGCATCTTGTCCTTGCTATACAATAGTCAAGATTTCAGATTTAGCAGCAGTAGCTTTTAGTAAAGGGAGATAAGTTGGGCTACATCCCCCCTCAATTTATCATTAAGTATATTTTTATTTTTAATTTAACAATGCTTAGAAATAAAAAGAAAGGTAACAAATGTAAGATTGCAGCTAATGTTAATATTCTCAATGAATACGAGAAATTTTCAGAGAGTTGAAAACACAAAAAAGTTATGCATAATATAATTAAGAAACCACTGCCACACAATTTCCCCCCTTCCACATTAAATTAGAAATAAAAAACCTGCCAATTGAAACTGAATGAATTTTTAGCTGCCAAAAAAGAATTGTACAAAACTGTTTGTTAAAAAAGCACTGTCCAGAATGGCTTTGTTTTCAGCAATGAATAATGAGCTCTAGCTGCCAATAAAATAAACAGCCAACAGATGTGGTAAAAATGTGGAGAGTTCACGAATTATTTGACCCATATGGTCTTCAAAGAAAAAATAACAATAAGTGGTCAGTTTCATATTTCACTATATTTTATGGAACTGCCTAAAATGCTGAGATCCCAGAAATACTAGAACTCCAAGTGGGGTGCAAGTGAGAGCAAGAAAATGCAATATATTGAAAGTGGTGCAATAAGTTATTTTATCACTAAAACAAAAAAAAACTCAATAATGACATTTCAATATTCTTAAAGGAAAGATACAATGAACAAGAGAAACACTGATATATAAAAAATTGACACCCTCCAACCCCCCCCCCC